GGTTTGGCTTATCGGTTAAAGGCTTTTAAATGTATTAATCCGCTAGCCACCCGATAAGATATCGGACGGATTGGTATCGGTTTAACTCTAATCGGGCGGTTATCAGGCGGTTTATCGGCCTAATTCAATATATATTCAATCATAATTACTAGAAAATATGCACCTACAAACGGAGTACTAATTTAGAACCCATATAGGAGTGTTAATCCATGTCTGGTTGTAGCCATTGTATATAAGTTATACCTTATCCGAACAAATCACCGCCTCAAATTCCAGTATGCAATGTAGAAAGCAAAAGAAATTCACCTCATCTATAGTAATAATTTCTTTGATATGCTGAAGTCGGTGAACAAACAGCCAAACAAAAGCACAAGAATTAGATTTCTGCAAATCATAGTAACAAAGAACAGAGAAAGCAATAAAAAAAGAAGTTCACCTCCAGATTGAGTACAATAGCCTTTTCTCGGCCTAAAATTGCAGAAGGATAAGAAAGAAGAGGATCAAGAATACGAAGATCTCTAGCATGTATAGGAACTCGTTTCATAATAGCATACTTATCCAAATCCAAGATACTACTCTCCCCCTTACAAATTGAAAACTAACTTAGTTCATGTTTACGACTAAGATTTCAGGCGCATCATCTTTCAACAGGTGTCTGTAATATTCATTGTTCATGCCTGAAAAAGATATCTCTACGCCCTCACCTATATCGCATAATTGATACATTGGCTAACTTATCTTGTCCAGTTCAGTGATGTTGCATCCTTTATGCATTATGCCTGAGAAAGACTTGTTTATAATGTAATACTAACTTCATCTGTATGAGTATTCCAAAATATTTGTATGCTTGAATTTGATTCTGAACTTTCTGCCTTTTCTAAAGTAATTAACAAGGATTATGTTACATATTTTTCATAATTTTGATTATTTAGGAATTAAGCGTTAAAACTTAGAGATAGAGTATTGGAAGAGTGGAAGAGTGGAAGACTGAAGTCGAAGGGTTTTTGATATTTAATATATATATGGATAAAAATAAATTTTATATATATATATATATATATATATATATATATATATATATATATATATATATATATATATATATTCATTCTTAACGGGTTAACGGATTATCCATTAAGAAAATTGAATAATCCGCCCCCAAACCGATAAGCCGTTAATGAAAAAATTTCAATCCGTTCCTCGTCCTTTAAACTGTTAACCCGATACAAATAAGCCATTAAGCTTCGGTTTCGGTTTGGTTTTCGATTTCGGTTCGGTTTTGAACACCCCTACAAAGGAGGGAAAGGAGGGAGATCTAAGATTAAGGGGGAACTTAGTGTAGTTCTGGCATCTCATCTGGTTATTTCTGCTCTAAACAAATACTGTCCATGTCTAAGTTTGTCATCATCAAAAAGGGGGAAATTGATGGGTTTTTAATGTCTTGGCCTTATGCGTCTTATGTTTTGATGATTTAACAAACTTGTCGTGAAGAACCAGATAGAGAACCTGGCAACCTGTCCCACAGGGTATACACTTCATGTGACCTTGTTGAAGTATGAAAATCAGCAAATGGATGAACAACCACAGGGAGGAACACAACAGGGACCAGGTAACCTGGTCCTTTAGGGTTTTTTGACAGAAGTACAAGTCAAATACACAGCTGGAACGTAGCAGAAGAAAGTGACCATCTAGCAGCTGTCACAGAAGAGGAACACAACTAGGACCTGGTCTGTTGGTGTGTCCTGACAAGAAGTACAAAGTCCACTATCCAGCTGGAACGCAACTGCGCAGAAGTGGCTGTGCAAACTGTACAGCAGTCACTTCTCATTGGGAAGAAGCGTACACCAAGAGTTGACATCACTATCCATTGTGCTATCTTTGTGATAAAACAACCTGGTGCAAGGCACACCATTGTTCGTGCATTCAGTAATATTCTCTCAAGCATGACAACGTTCATCCTGCATTGAAGTCACTGGTGTGTCAAGAACAAGAAGACAACTCCACTAAGGATCAGTTTCTTAATGAGTTTATGTACATCCGTAGTTGAGTTGTAATCTTGTTGTTTGCTCTTCATTGTATTTCCTAGTTTGCTTTCTTAGAAGCGTTGTCTTAGGAACAAACCAAAATTCGTAAACTTCTGAGTTTATGTTGTGACTAGGGATAGTCATAAGTTTAAAGCCTTTGTAACTAGGATAGTTATAGAGTGGCTTGTGGTGGTTACATCACAAGTTAGTTTGAAGTCTTTGCAATAGGGTTTTTGCAAAGTGGCTTGTGGTGGTTGCATCACAAGTTAGTTTGAAGTCTTTGCAATAGGGTTTTTGCAAAGTGGCTTGTGGTGGTTGCATCACAAGTTAGTTTGAAGTCTTTGCAATAGGGTTTTTGCAAAGTGGCTTGTAATAGGCAGATTGCAAGTTAGTGGAGTTAAAAGCCTACAAGAGTAGGTCATCGTTTTTGATCCCCTTGTGTGGGATTTTCCACGTAGAAAATCTCTTGCCTTCTTTACTTACAGTCTTTACTGCATTCTAGGCATCATCTCATAGAGGATCAGATACTCTATAGTTTGGTGGACTCATATAAGCTAATAATTTCCTTTGATCCCACAAGTGTATGAAGTTATATGCTCGTTAGGGTCGGTTGTCCCGTTATACTTGGGTATATCGGGCATGCGAAACTTCTTGGGTATGGGCATCGGAGCTGCACTCGGGGGGAATGGTTTTTGCATGAACTTTTTGGCATCTAGACCTTTCAAAACTGGAGGTGCCCCCGGTATCTGGTCTACCCGGGAGTTATAAGTTTCCACCTTCTTATCATTGTCTTTAATTTTCTTTTCTCCGAACTCGATCCTCTTAGTTAGTTCCTCGAGCATTCTCATAATCGTGGGGTCTGTCCCCGAGCCACTTTCATCTGTCCTTTCTAGCGCTGGTTCAGTACGCCGAGTGTTTACTGGTTTGGCTGTGTTTGGAGTTCTATTCTAACTCTGAAGTTGAGCGATGGCGATTTGCTGAGCTTGCAGCATCTTGAATATCACCTGGAGGCTTACTCCCCCATCTCCCATTCCTTGTGTTCTTTGCTCACCAGATTGGGCTTCCCTGTGTATATTTCCTTCAGGGTCCGCGCCTAGATTTGCATTCAAAGCGATGCGCAAACTAACATCAACAAGTTCCACATTTGGCACTTCCCCTGGGTTTATCGGTGGTACACCTACTCCTGCGTTGTTGTTCTCTCCAAGACCTTCATTGTCATGAATGGGTGCCTTTTGTGAGCTAGACATGTTTCAGCGTGAGAATCAAAAGATCTTGACAAGAAAAAGTGTAAAAGCAACGTGTGTAATGAAAATCAGTAAAGAAATAATCACTATTATCTTTAGCCCCACGGTGGGCGTCAAACTGTTTACCTTGAAAATACGAGTAACAATTAAATTTGATTTGTAGTTAGTTTAATACCACTTAATAATCAAGAAATATGAAGTAGAAATGAAAGACACAAGTGAATCAAACCAATGTTACTCAGCTATAGTGACCTCGAGCTTAGTGACCTCGAGGTAGGCTTAGGATAATAAGAACAATTAAGTAATAAAAGCAAAGTAAGAACAGTATACCTAAAGGACAATGCTGATGAACAGTAGGCGAAAAGGTAGAGAATATATTCTTTGCTCAATGATAAGATGATGTTACAAATGATTGAGATCCCCTTTATATAATAGGGGAATCCCTAAATAAGGAATATTCTTGGTACAACTGTCTAACCGCCTAGTACGGAATCGTACAATCCCATTCCGGAATTTGCGTCGTGATCTTGGGGACGTGGCTAGAAGCTTGCTTAGTCTGTTACAAAGCCATAATGGTATTATTCGAAGGTCGAACACACTCGCCCCCCGGTATGTATCGCGCTCTGTCTTCGAACTCGGGTCTGGTCCCTCAAGCTCGAACTTGGTCTTATCCGAACTCGGACTTCGGACGACCTCCCGAGTTTATAGATCGAAAGCATTCGATCTCGACCGTATATAATATTGCATATATAAGATTAAAATTATTTTTTATTCATAAAAAGTAGATGTTGAATTCCTTCACTTATTCATGTATTTACTTTTTAATATTTCGAATTCTCTTGATAAAAATCCTTTAGCTATTCTTCATTTAAGGTGGTTTTATATGGCGTTAACCCAAAAGACATTTAAATGTCTACACTAACAATTTCGAAAGGAGTAATAATTAGTAAAAGAATTTGAGAAAAAAGTTAATTAGAAGAATATTCAGGAAAACAAAAATTAACACTCTGTTTGGATCATTGTTACTCATCGTTTTATAATGTATTGTATTGTATTGTATTGTACTGTACCGTACCGTATTATATCGTTTTGATGGATACAATGTTTGGATAGATTGTATCGCTTGTTGTTGTTAAACAATATTTTTATTGTTTGGTTTGACTGTATTGTATTGTACTGCACTGCTATATTTACTAAAATACCCTCAATTATTTTAAACACGATGCTTCTTAAGAACTACTCATAAAAATAATTTATTTATTTGACCTTCCGATCTTGGTAGAAGCCTATATATGTAATTATAATTAGCAAAAAGTTTGCAAAGATTATAGATGAGATAAAAATACAAAAAAAAAAAAGAGAGGGAAAACTAACCAAAAAAATAAACGGAAGAAGGAGGGAGACAAAGTACGTAGTTGGGTGAAGTATAACATAAATAATAGGGTAAAAGGTAAAATTGAAATATAGAATAATTAGTGTGGGCGTAATTGGAAAGAGAAATACGGAACAATCTCACCACACCGATTTGGTTGTTTCATAAAATGGGCCTTTTCATTATTCCGGAACAATAAATTTAACAATACAATACAATCAATTTTATATGATCAATCAAAACAAACATTGTATGTAGGGTAACAATACAATACGATGGGTAACAACCATCCAAACAATACGTAAGAGATCCATCAAAACCAATCCAACGGTTGTAATTAATCAACCTTTTTCTACAAATTCGTGGCGTAGCGTCTTATTCCCACTCTCACAAACAACCCAACACCTTCGAACGCGTATCCCAATGGCAACTATCAAGTCCGTCAAGGCTCGTCAGATCTTCGATAGCCGTGGTAATCCTACGGTTGAGGTTCGTTCTCCTTCAAATCATCGTCCATTTCAGCCATTTACGATGTTCCCTATATTACATTCTTCGTTTATTGTTCTATTTCTATGTTAAGTTTGTATATTACTTCTGATTTCAGACAGGTGTAGTATATTAGGTGTAAAATTGGTGATAGTTTATTTACAACTCGTTGATTTGTACATTGTGTAGGTTGATGTACATTTGTCAAATGGTGTCTGGGCTAGAGCTGCTGTTCCTAGTGGCGCATCCACTGGTGAAAATTCTATTTCTGTTCGTTGTATTATTTTGGATTTTTACATTTTAACAGCATGGATGGGTTTGGAGTATTTACGCAGACATGCAAGCCATTGACTATAATATAAGTATTTTGCCCCGAGGGCTTTCGTCTGGTAGCATGTTACAGACAGAAACCTGGTATTTAAGTGGAGAAAGGGGGGCAAGCTCATTATCCACCAAGTTTGAAACTGCGGCCCACTGGGGCTTTCTCTAAATTATACATAAGATGATGATTACTTTTAAGTTTTTAGCAAATGTTTTCCAAGTATGGTTTTGTTGATTTAACCCTTTCTTGTTATGAATTTCTGTTTGGCTGTTTAGATAAGAAAAGTGACCAACCATTGGTCAGTTTTTTAGGCAAATGTGTTTAGTATCGGCGTTTTCCTAGAATTTTCTTGAATTTTAAACCATTTGTATCTATAAGGATATTGCAAGACGCCAAGACAATGTTCTTTTAATTCGGATGGAAATGTGAAGTGTGTGTTTTAGTTCTTGACATTGTAGCTTCCTCTGTTCCTAGTACCTTCTATTGAACTCCGTCGAATTCATTTGATAGGAATATATGAAGCCCTTGAATTGAGGGATGGAGGGTCCGACTACCTTGGCAAGGGCGTTTCAAAGGTTGGTATTGCATCTCAAGACACGTAATTGGTTGATTATACTGTTCACTGCTGACTGCTGGTTTGCTCCCTTGTTCAACTCATTTAGGCCGTAAACAATGTCAACTCAATTATTGGACCAGCTCTTGTTGGCAAGGTATATTTCCTCCAGTAATTTCTTTTACCTTCGAAGAGGATATTTCTTGGAGAATTGTTTTGATGGTTATTTGCTAGGTGTGAAAGAGCACAATGCTTCTTATTATTGTGTTGAGTAGCGATGTGCCTGATATGCGAGGTTCCCTTGCTTTGCAGGACCCAACTGATCAGACTGGTCTTGATAACTATATGGTTCATCAGCTAGATGGAACGCAAAATGAGTGGGGTTGGTGCAAGCAAAAGGTATCCAAGAATAAGCTTCAACATTAAGTTCACTTAAGTTGTAATTATCAGAAGTGCACAAATTACCAATTTACTTGTGTTGGCTTTTTTGCCAGCTTGGTGCAAATGCCATCCTTGCTGTGTCACTTGCAGTGTGTAAAGCTGGCGCTGCTGTCAAGAACGTTCCACTTTATAAGGTATATCACACAATTGTTTTTTATGGAGTCCAATGCTCACTCAGCCAGTAATCAACTCTTTAAATCTTCAGTGGCCAATTAAAGTGGAGTCCAAATGGAAAGATATTGACCTTAAGACCCCATCCATTTCTTCTTCAATGTGGGAACATTTTGTATTTTGAATTTATTGTTCACGTAAGGGGGTAACAATCTTCTGTTTAAAGTTTGCTCTAATTGGTACTATTTCTATTACTATGTTAGTTCTCCCCATCATAAGGTAATAGAATCGTGGCCACTTGTTTGCCCAAAAGAGAAAACAAAACATCCAAGCCTCCATTCTCTTCTTTACATATATCCAGTTTGAAGAAATATATGATTACGAGTTACAATTTGAGCTGCCTTCTCTTTGCAGCATATTGCTGATTTGGCAGGTAACAAAAAGTTGGTTTTGCCAGTTCCTGCTTTCAATGTCATCAATGGTGGGTCCCATGCTGGAAATAAGCTTGCGATGCAGGTATGTATTTTCTCCCGTTAAAAGATTTAATTAAGTGATGTTTAGATAAAATATACTCATTAGCTGTTATGTACAGGAATTTATGATTCTTCCTGTTGGAGCTTCTAGTTTTAAGGAGGCCATGAAGATGGGTTGTGAAGTGTATCACCATTTGAAGGTTCCACACAGTTGTTCTAGCTTCTATTCCATTAGTATTTATTTGTCTCAAAAGTCAAGTTTAGTGGATATGTTTGACAATATTTGCATTAAAGAATGAGTTGTTCTTTCCTTTTTCCTGTTACCCTTTTGAGCTCCATTAGGCTAGAAAATATAGTAATCCCTATGTCTTATTTTATGTGACGCTTGTCCATAAAGCCTGTTACCTTTCTATATTTAAAAACTATTTAATCTTATCCATCTTCTTTTTACCCTTAGGGACATAACTTTTTGGAATCCACTTCATGCTAATATTCACCTTTTTCTCAGGAAAGAGAAAATAGTAAAGGATATGTGGAACTCTCACGAATTCTCATTTAATTGATGTTACTAACGACATTTTTGGTATTCTGCATACTTTTAGCTTGTATCAAAGGTCCTTATTTCGTGAAACTCCAGGCACATTCAAACACCATCTCATAAAATGGGACTGAGGGAGCATTAAATGTGTTCGTACCAATCCTTTTTCTCATACTTATTTCGGTTGCTGATGACAGTTTAATCTAACTCTAGGCTGTGATTAAGAAGAAATATGGCCAGGATGCAACAAATGTTGGTGATGAGGGCGGTTTTGCTCCTAATATCCAGGTTAAGTGTAAATTAATGCAGGTGTATGGCATACTGTTGAATATTTACCCTTATATATGACATGATTATTGTTTCGAAAATTCAGGAAAATAAGGAGGGCCTTGAATTGCTAAAGACAGCCATCGAAAAAGCAGGTTATACTGGAAAAGTAAGCTCTTAACTGTGTTTTAATTCAGACCTTTTAAATGCTTTTAGATAATGTGGAAGCTAAGATTATCTTCCATTTAGGTTGTTATCGGAATGGATGTTGCAGCATCTGAATTCTATGGAAAGGACAATACGTATGATCTGAACTTCAAAGAAGAGGTATATCCTTGCTGACTAGACCCTATTAGTGAATTCAGACAGTAATTTTGGTGTTGCTTTCTTTCACTATTAGTTGATACTCAGAGGTTTGTATCTCTACAAAGAACATTGAACTGGATTTTCTGCATTGACATGACTTTGTAATCTTGATTGTTCTGAAGCCACATCATTTATGAGATTGCATACTTGGAAAATTGATAAATTGGATTTTGACCAAACTTGCTTACAAACGTTTCTTGGAACTCAACAATAGAGATTAATAGCCCATTAATAGAGAAGTGCTTTTCTCAAAAGTACTTTTGGTGAGAAACAGTTTGTGTTTGGCTAATTAGTTCGAAAAGCACTTCTGAGCAGCAATTAGTGTTTGGCCAAGCTTTTAAAAAATGCTTCTAAGTGTATTTTTCTCAAAAGTGCTTATCAAAAAAGTGCTTTCGGAGAAAAGTTACTTTTTTTTGCTTCTCCAAAACTGCTTCTGCTTCTCCTCAAAAGCACTTTTTTTCCTTCCAAAAGCTTGGCCGAACACCTCAATTTTTGGCCAAAAGTGCTTTTGGCCAAAAAGAAGCTTGGCCAAACAGGCTATAAGTAGTAATAACCACTAACTTGGGATGATTACCTACTTGGCAAATGGATATGCAACTGAGCTGGAAAGTATGAGACTCTTTATTGATATTGTTTCATGTTTGATTTATTATCTAATCCGATTGCTTCAATCGGTTCATCTTTGCAGAATAACAATGGCTCCCAAAAGATCTCAGGTGACCAGCTCAAAGATTTGTACAAGTCATTTGTGTCTGAGTACCCTATTGTTTCAATTGAAGATCCATTTGACCAAGATGACTGGGAAACCTATGCTAAGCTCACTGCTGAGATTGGGGAGAAAGTACAAATTGTGGGAGATGACCTTCTTGTCACCAATCCTAAGGTAAAATTGAGGCTGCTTGCAATTAGTTGTCCTTCCTTGCTTAGAGCTTCATGCTAAGATGTTCTATCATTAAAGATAACGAGTAGAGCACGTGGTTCTTGTGTGCTCGAGCTACTTTCTGTTTGCTTTTCAAAACCATATAATTATGAGCTGTATATGTGCCAGAGAGTTGCCAAGGCAATCCAAGAGAAGACTTGCAATGCCCTTCTTCTTAAGGTATTTGTTGCATCCTCTGAGTTAGCCACATTGCTAATGTGTCCCCTTACTTTGAAGATCAGGCTGCAATATTTCATTTGGATTCTGTGTGCAGGTTAACCAAATAGGCAGTGTGACCGAGAGTATCGAAGCTGTAAAAATGTCTAAGCGGGCTGGTTGGGGTGTAATGACTAGCCACCGCAGGTAAGGAGATTATGATCCTCAGCATTAGGCTTGCATAATGAAGAAATATAGCTATGCTTTGTTATTTATGACACTTGTTAATGGTCTTTGGCTTATTTGGTGCAGTGGAGAGACAGAGGATACCTTCATTGCTGATCTTGCTGTGGGTTTGTCAACGGTAATTTTGTTATAAAGGCATTTTTTGGCTAATCTAATTTATAGAGTTAACTCAGAAATATCCTTGGTATCAATTGGGTATTCTCCTGGAATCTTCTAGGGGCAAATCAAGACTGGAGCTCCCTGCAGATCGGAACGTCTTGCAAAGTACAACCAGGTAGTTATCCCAATAGTACAGTTCACTTTGATGGTATTACATGCTCTAGCGTTTCTCGCTGTAGTCTCTACACAAGTTCTGATTTCTCGTTCATTGCAACAGCTCTTGAGAATTGAAGAGGAACTTGGGTCAGATGCTGTATATGCTGGAGCAAGCTTCCGCACCCCTGTTGAGCCCTACTAAACATGAACTGTTACTCTGGAATGTGGAGGGGAGTCTCTTAGGCTGACCAAATTGCCAATAAGGAAATGGTCATTCTATGATGGTATCTGACCGATTTTCAAATTCCAAACTTTAACAGTTTTTATTCTGATATTTTGAGTCTTGACAATTCTGAACTGAGAAATGGTTCTGGTAGGCAGAGCATATCTTATTCTGACTGCTGGTCTTGTAACCGGATGTGCAGTTTATAGTACTTTTTCAAGATTTTGATGTTCCGGTTTTGCATAAATCATAGATTTTGCCTTGCTATGTAACGCATTGTGGACAGAATTGTCTACCTTCGCCGATTAGGTTGCCTTGTTGATGAATAGAGGCGAGCATTTCTTGAAAGGGAAACCTCAGTTAGGGAATCTACCTTAATTTCATCCTGTGATGATGAGTTCAGTATACTAAAACAAAATAATATGTAGAATAACTAAGGTTTTGTGCCGTTAGAGATATCTCCCTGTCCTATTATACTCTGGGATGTTTCCACTTTCCACTATGTGGAACCAACTTTGTCATTTCAGAAGGATTTCAGCGGGCCTTTTGTTGAGGAACACTTTCACAGTACAATTCTATCTTGAAGTCCTTTTTATTTTTTTTAATTTTACATGTTCCTTTTGTCGATGTTTGATAATGTTCAAGTGTCTATCTAAATGGACAAAGCAGGATAAATGAATCCCATTGCCATCATTTGCAAATTGTGGAAGCCATTTTAACTGTCAAACTTAATTAGTGACCAGCTATATTTATATGTCAATTATAATCGACTATTGAATGACCTAAGAAATTATTTTTTTTTCTTTCATTCAATTGTTCTAGCGTTCTTAATTTAGTTGTTAATATTGTAGATAACATATCGTTTACACTTATTATCAAGAGTTGACAGATTACATCTTGATCAATCATTAATTCTACAAATATTTAATCATAATAATATCCTTTCAATTATCGTCCATAGGCGTAAATAATCATAACCATTACGAATATGATCCTATCTCCATATGAATCATCTATTTATATAATTTAGTTAATATCATTATAATCAATGTCCTTATCAAATTAATCAAGCAATTAACAATGATGGTGATAAAAGATTTTCAAATGCCGTATATTTATATCAAATAATATTTGCAATAACCAAGCCACATTTTGCTCTCATCGCTCTTGCAATCGTATCTATGAAAATATCCTTTTGGTGTTGCTCCAAAATTCACATAATCACTTAGCATATTCTGGATACAACATTGATGACAATGTGTAATTCTCCAGGTTTTCATAACGACAGTCATATCGATGAATATACATGAGACCACGAACCATTTTTCTAAATCTCTTCGTATAGTTGTCTTCAAAAAAAAA